ATCAACAGCGATAGTGTTTGGACCGCGAGAAGAGAATCCAGCAACTTTAGGAGCTGCCTGATTAAATATTGCTTCACTTTTTAGCACAGCCGCTTTCGGGGACCTGAGACAAATAAAGACAGAGATATCAAGACAAAGAATGAGAATCCAGCGCACATGGTAAGAGTATGAAACATCGAGATGACTTGTTCCTTACTTTGTGGAGTTAATGTAAGAAATGAGAGAGCCAAAGTCCTCTAGTGATAGAAAAGAGATGGGCCAAGGGCTAACAGTGGCAAATTCTGTTTTGTGTTTAAATATGAATGCAACAGCTACGTCCGAACCAATCGCATAACTGCACACAACGATCTTTCCCTTCGCCTGAGATTCGTTATTACACTTCTCAACCGATTTTTCGTACACAAGAGGATACTGTTTTCCTTTCAGATCAAAAGCATTCACTGATTTTCCCTGTTATGAGAAAAAGATACATTGATAATGAGAAGGAGACTAGGATCATAGAAATGAGAACGTTTGTTGGTACTTACGACAAGTGTCTTGCCGTTTCCGAGAACGACTTTAGTGAAAACCCCACGGTTTGTGGTGCTAGCTGCAACGGTTAAGATCCACGGTGCTACGCTCACGGTTGGATTTGGACCGCTGTTACCAGCTGACTGCACAGTGAGAATCCCTTTGGCCATAGCGTGAAAAGCCCCTATCGCTATTGGGTCCTTTTCGTACATGTAGGTGGTGACTCCCCCGAGGGAGGCGCTGATGACGTCGACACCATCTGCGATAGCATCATCGAAAGCCGATAGTATAGATTCCGTGCTACACCCTGACCCGCTACAGACTTTGTATGCTGCTATTCTGGATGCTGGAACGCCGCCTCTTGCAGTTCCATTACCGATTCCATAGAAACTTGCGTTCTCAACCGCGTTTCCAGCCGCTGTTGATGCTGTGTGTGTACCGTGGCCTTCAGTGTCCCTCGTGCCTTCGTTTGTATAGTCTCTTGCTCCAATCAACTTGCTGAAACATTGTAAACAGATTAACTTTTGTACGTAATTTATTTTTGTAACCAAAAGATTCTATGCCGAAACTCAAACTAATTAATTTCCGGGTGTTCCTTGAAAATAACCTCGACCAACAATACTAATCTTTTTTTTTTTTTTTGAATAACCGCGGGTCTCCCAAAAGACTGGCAATTCCACGAGGACTAATCCCACGAGGCTGGCAATTCTCCTATATAAACCTGCCAGTGACCGTGCCTCGAACCCTGGTGGCGGAAGTCACAGCTGTGACCCCTTTACCACTAGGCCACAAGGCCCGGTTCAACAATACTAATCTTTATATAGAGAAATTAATTTAAGAGAATTACTTGTTGCAAGTGAAGTTTTTGCCGCCGGAGCAAACACCTTTCCATTTCTTAGGAGGAGGACCAAAGCCTTTACCGGAAAAGCTTTCTGATTCTGGCGAAATCCCAGTGTCCAAAACTCCTACAATAGTATCACTCTCAACGGCCAAGTTTCGTTTTGTATTTGTTCCTTCCTTCATTCCCATGAAGTCCCAAGATGCCGTTGTATGGAGTTTGTAGTTCATGCTTGGGAACACGGACACAACTCCCTCCATTTCTATCATCATAAAAGGTTTTTTAAACGTTTAACCTTAAACAACACTGTAACATAAAATGTCTCTCCATCGAAGAACACTCACCGGCTACTCTTTGTCGTTCTGACTCAGTGAGCCGGGCAGCGAACCCGTTGAAACTCCTCTTGTAACTTCTAACCAAACGTCCTTCGATCGAACTAGGAAAGAAATCACTTGTTAGTATCTTCATAACGATTTTTAAAATTAATTATAACTAATCATGATTATATAAATGAATTAAATAAATCATTCGTACCTTTCGCCGGTGACTTCTTGAAGAATATTTATGTGATCTGACGTTGGTTTTAAAGAATCAAAAACTCAAAGTTTGTATAAAGAATCCTTCCTTTATTAATGTTTAGAAAATCTTCTCAAAACTAAACACAAGCTTTCTCTTCGCTCTCTTATGATCATACATCCTTCTTATGATCTCTAATTATATAGTTATGAATTTCCTATTCTAATTTCCTTTTTAGATTAGGATTACAACTTTTTCCTTTTCCTAATTAGATTCCTATTTCCTTTAAGGATATCTTCTAGAATCTTCATGAAGCTTACCCAACATTCACCCCTTTAAGCTTCAAGTTGTTCTTCATGAGATCTTGAACTCCGATCATTTCTCTCATCTTCTTAAACTTGATTTTCGCCAAGGCTTTGGTAAGAATGTCTGCACGCTGTTCTTCTCCGGGTACATGCTCCACTTCAATCAATTTGTTCTCTACACATTCACGGATGAAGTGAAAACGTTTGTGGATGTGTTTGCTCCTTTTGTGGAAAACAGGGTTCTTGGTGAGCTCGATAGCCGATTTGTTGTCAATGCGGATCATCGTCTTCTCATACTTCTTCCCTGTGATTTCACTTAGCAAGTCTTGTATCCATATAGCTTGCTTAGCTGCTTCCGTAGCTGCCATGAACTCTGATTCACATGAAGACAAAGTCACTGTTTCTTGTTTTTGCGAGCACCAAGTTATGGGAGCTTCTCCGATATAAAACACATGTCCCGTGGTGCTTCTACCGTCGTCAGGGTCTGTGTTGTGGCTACTATCACTATAGCCTACAATGTCTGGTGCTCCTTTCTTGTATGTGATTCCATAGCTTACCGTACCAAAAACATACCGTTGGTTTTGGTTCCAATCACTGGCGTGTCATTCTCTAGGATCAGGCATGTTTTTGAAAAAAATCCCCACTAAAAATACTCAGATCCGGGCGAGAGAAAAAATTTTAGCGCACGCCTCCATTCTCTCAATCAATAGGAGGGAAGCGACTCGTCGCTGGTCCACCCTCTCTTTTTTGAGAAAAGCCAAACC